CCTCCCACTCGCCGCCTCCTCCACCGCCAATCCATCCTTACTTATCTGTCTTTAGGTATATCTACATTCTTTTGGCTTTAGTCTCAAGCGATTCCTCTCCTCTACCTTCTTTAAATCTAATTTTCTCTAGATCCAGAATTCCAGTTTCAAGTCAAACAAACAAAACACTTTAAATCTCCTCATCATGGGCTAATCGCTGCGAGAGCTGAACCTTACGCTTGGAGAGGTGGTTTAGATTAAAACAAGAAAGAAAAAACAGAACACTAGGTAGCCTCTCAAATGTCAATATAATAAAACTCCTGAAAAACCCAAGATCCAAACAACTGAATTCTCTCGGTCAATGAAATGTAGCATTACTGTAATAAACTAACTCGAGCAGCAGCTAGACAAACAAATCAACTAGTATCATGAAAACTATTCTTCAATTAGCGAATTCAACCACCAATGAATCACCATAAACAAAAACTAAATCTAAAAGCAAAATTTACCTCCTCGATCGAGCAAAACGAACGTAGGGAGAGCTCCAGACTTCGACTGGAACGAAATCCCAGCATCGCTGAATTCTCTGCAACCCTTCTGATTCTCCTTCGGAAACACCACAGTCCCAGACATGCTACCTCCATATTGAGGAATGCCAAAATTCCCAATAGCACTATCGTAGGTACCTTTCAAACCCTCAGGCGATGTAACCCTCAAACTATTCTTTTCAACCACGAACTTGGCCACAGACAGTGGCACCAAAGACAGCAGAAGAAGAAAAAGCCCTAAAAACAAACTCAAACCCGACTTCTGAACCTCCATGAAAGGCATTCCCAGATGATTAAAATAAACAAATCACCAATATTCAGATTGAAAACGAAGCTAAATTCGTGAAAAGGATGAATCAAATTCGTATAAAAAAAAATCCGCCGCCGTCGCTGCTATGAGGAAGGGCGCTGTTATTCTCTGAATGAGAAAAGACAAACGGAGTTGTTGGATTTGCTTTAATGGAGGTCGGATTCGTGGCGAAGAAGGCAGTGCCCTTTCAGTCCTCGCAACTCGATGACGGAACGAGAAATGATCCGTGTGAAGTGAAATCTTTGGAAACAATAGCTTTAATTACGCTGCATGCCCCACTTGCCTTTGATTATCGAATTTAACAGAAATTTTCAACTCATCCTTCCGGAATTAGAAATTGAACGGAAGAAACCTACGGAAAATCTTTCAAAAATCCACAATATTTCTCTTCATATTTTATTTTCCCGGAAAATTAAATTTTAAAAAATATTAATCGAAAGTTTTAATTGGTCGAACACGACTCTCCACAATAGTATAATATGGTCCACTTTCAGCATATTCGTTCGTTATAAACTCATGATCATTCCCTAAATTAGTCGATGTGGGACTTTCATCATCCAACACTTCCCATCGAACAAAGTACGCCTCCCCTTAATCGAGGCTTGACTCCTTTTCTTTTGGAGTCATTTGTTCGATTTACCGATCTATTGGCACGACTAAGTTAAGAGCATGACTCTGATACCACGTTTGAAAGTTGTGTTCATCTAACAATAATTACCTGCCTACTAATATTAAATTTTTTGGATCGTGTATAGACAATTGTCAACGACACCATGACACTAAACTCTAAATATTGATCGTATATTTCATGTAAACAAATACTAAAATGGTAAGGATATTAAAAACTTGATATATACAATCAAGCCCGTTTTTTTTTTTTTTTAATTAGAAAACGGCTTTCACCGAGCTTCGACGAACACTCAGATGCTTGAAGGAGTAAACAATTGAAGATCTCTTAGGATAAGAAGTAGATTCAGTCTTTAATGAATCGTAGATGAAATTATTTATTTGATTTGCATACACAAATTTTATTTTCATATAAATATTTGTCTACCCTAATGTTTTTTTTACCAACCTCGAGAGAGGAGGATGTTAATCGAGCTTTTCCATGCTTGGTCTCCGATTAAAGATTCATAGTGGTTTACGAACCTATACCAAACCCTTTATGCTATAATTTATTGAGGTTGATCTCGAAGTTACGTTCGAGATTGTAGTAGTAGTTTCTATTTATTCACCCCGAAGAGTGGATTTATTTGAACGTTATGTGAAAGCAATATCATAAATATACGAGAAGCTATGAGATCCCACATTGGTTGAAGAGAGGAACGAAACATTCCTTATAAGGGTGTGGGAACCTCTTCCTAGTAGACATATTTTAAAACCGTAAGGTTGACAACAATGTGTAACGGACTAAAACAGACAATATATACTAGGGTGGCCTCGGGTTGTTAGATAAACGTTTTATTGTCTTCAACGATTGTGATAAGGATACGTAACGAGGCACATTGGCATTTAATGTCAAACTGATTGTCACATAGGATGCTTTTTAATGACAAATATTGACTTTTGACATCATACATTGACCGTCATTGTAGGCTACAATAACGTGCACTTTTTTATGATGTGGCAATAACTATTTCGACGTGCAAGACGATTTCAGGCATGTGTCTTAGATTGTTTTCTTTTAACGACATAAGTTACCCGTCGGTAAAACTCAGTTTTATACTAGTGACAATGATATTTTTACTAGTACATTAATTATCTTTTCAGTATACTTAAGTTTTATAATTAACCTTCATTTTGAAGGTTTTTGGTATGGGTCGGGTTCTCGGTCCAACCCTCCTTTCATTTTATAAACTTGGATCGTCTATCCTAGTTTCGGTCTAAGCTCTCTACTCTGTCCGTTTCTTGAATAGTTACCAATGATGACATCCTTTCGTAGGTGTAAGTTTTCCAGTTCTCAACGAAGTTTCGGGTAATTAGGCACCGTTATAGGTGTTAAGGTATTTTAACTATCATTTACCTATTGACTCTATTTATGCCTACTTCAAATTTTTGAGTCGTATGTAAGACTCGCTCTTTGTCAAATACGACCCGTCTACAAAACTAGTTGGCGGTTTGAAATAGCACACAACCTAATGATCAGGAATAATCATTGTTCCTAACTTAGTACACTATGCTTTAGTCAGGTTTCCGTGGAGTTTGGTAGACTAATTAGGTGACATGCCCTACGCCTATTCTCTTAGATTTCAGAATTGTATGTAAGACATACTTTCGTTCAAATACGACTCATTTACTAAACTCTCTAACAATCTGAAGTAGCACACAACCCGACGATCGAATTTTCTCGGGTACCTATATACATCATATACCATAATAAGCTCATAAGCATAAAATAGACATCATACATATTAATCATGAATTTCTAACATGATCACATCTTATGCACGCATTCATGATTATTATACTTTAAATTATATCATTCACATACATTTATTATACTAGGCTCCTAATTACAAGGTCAACGTGCTTTTTTTTTTATATATTTATATATATATATATTTTCATTTAATATATTAAATATTAATTTGGATCTTTGGATGAAAATTCAATAATACAAAATTAATAAGTAAAACTATTTAATTAATCAATTTTCATTCATTAACTATAGCCACTCAGCTATAAAACTAGATTATTCTCTAATTGTTTTTAATTATAGTTTAGTCAAAAGTCAATTTTGCCCTTATAATTACATTTTACATCGGTCAGTATCGCTAACTCTTTAATAAACAATTTATTATTGATTCAATCATAAATTAAGTCCTTCTCGAGCTCTTGAGATGGTGGAACCCTTGTTTAAGTTCTGAAATCAACACTTGTTTAAGTTCTGAAATCAACACTTAAATAGAATTATTCGTCTTTTTTGCTTGTATGGGAATGAGTGAATTCCATCTAACAAGATTAGGGTTACAGCTCTCTATTTGGTCAGAATCCCAAAATGGTAGACATATTGAATGAGTTATAAAAATCATTCTCAATCATCAAAATCAAAGGACAAATCCTCACCGTTCATAACTTGTTCATGGTTAAGATTGAATCAGATATGATCATCATGTGAAATGCTAATCTTCTCGATAAATGGATATATAAAAAGAAATTAAATATTTTATAGTCCAGTCATATACAAACTCATTATATATGATACCCATACTCACATGTTCCTACATAAACAATTTATATCAAATTATTTATAACAATTACAAAATGGGTCGTATCAATAGTGTTATCACGATAAAACACCTAATCTTATCCATGTACTATGAATCCTTTATGTTATTACTTAATAGGAGCATTTTGTGCATCAACCACGTACTATATAAGAATACAATAATAACCTTGAATTTTTCATACAATAAATAATATTAAATTACAAATAAAATAATTAATTATGAAACTTGAGGGCAAAGTCGGAATTGACAATTTGAAAACAATCTTAGCAATTTTTTTTTTTTTTTTTTTTTTTATGAAACTAAAATGATTAACACGTGCCACATGACCCAAGCGTGAAAGTTCAATAATAATATTTGATAGGATATTTTCTAATACTCGTTTAAGACGACTATTCTCAACCAAAACTAAATAAATACATATCTTATCGAACAAAATACAATCCTTAATTAATTACGATGACGTGGAACAATATTTAAATATGAATCCTTCATTGACAAACTACCAATCATGTGAGGCATTAGAATAAAAAAAATATATTAATATTAAAAACAAAAATATTTTTTTTTTTATAAAAAATATATTAATATTAAAAAGAAAACAATTTTGATTAATATAATAAAAATAAATAATTTTTTTTTTACACCATTCAAAATCTCTCCCTCCATTTTCCAAAGACCACAACTTCACAATTCAATTTTTAACCAACCATCTGCCCTTTGTTATCCAAAGCCTCTAAAACTACGTCGTTTTCTTATCAACTTTTACTCCCATTCTCAACCCTACGCGCGTGTTTTCACGGGCCAATAAACAACGTTCTTAGTTAACAAAAGCCAATATAAATGGCTGACGCTCACCACTCTCTCGAACTGGCGCGTGGTAATTCCAAAATAAACCATTCCCCATTATAATTCGAAATTCATCCATCATCTATCTCTCTTCCCTTTTTCGCTCTCCCTATCTCTCTCTCTGCAGAGCTTGAAAAAAGGTGACGGCCAAATTGGCGTTCTGATCTGCAGCGAAGAAGCCGAAGAAACGCGAAGCTTTCCCACATTGATTTTCTCAAGTTGATCGAAACCCTAGAACGAAGATACAGGAGAAAAGGAAGAGGAAGAAGAAGTTTTTGTCTCTCGAGCATTTTGGTTCGCGATGGGGTTGTGGGAAGCTTTTCTCAATTGGCTTCGAAGGTATGTTGGAACTGGCGATTGAAATTTTAAAGGAAATGGAAAGAAATTTGTTGAATTCTTTTTTATTGGTTGTTTATCTGATATCCGTTATGCTATATGAATATTATGCAATTGATAATATTCGTATCATTTAGATTAGTGAGCGGGAGGATTATGGAGGTGGAACCTGTGTTTGGTCTTCGTTTAGCTAATGGAAATTGATAATTTCTTCCCCTGGTTTCTAACCTCTCTGTTGTATGGAATTTAAGAATATTAATGGGCGAGAGGGCGACTTATTTTGGTTAAATTGGATAATAGATGATTTATCTTCTACTGTGTTCCGAACTGATGGTTTCATTAATTATACAACTGATGGCCATTTACTGCATCGATTCATTACTTATTTCGTTTTTTTTTGGAACTTTGAAGTTTAATGTTCTAATAATGCCTTGTGCTGTTGTATTGTTCGGAGTTGGTTTGTCTCGCTAAGATGTGTTTTGGTTATCATTTTTCTTGTTATACTTCTGCAAGAACGTGGCCAACGTGGGAGGTGACGATTAGGTTTTCAAGTTTGAATGAGTTCTGATTATAACCTAAAAAATGTAGTTATTTTGGTGGCTGCAATTCAGAACAATGAATGAACTGGTCAAATTGCGTTTGCAATGATGATATTTTCATTTTGTTAATTGTTTTGTTGATTAGAAGGTAATTTTCTTAATTAGAAAAAAAAATTGTGCTTATTAGTTCTTAATTTTTGTTGATTATGATACGAAAATTTAGATTAGAATTAGATTTGGTTGAATTAGATGAGATGTTTGCTTTGGTTCTTCATGTGATGCCCATCTCTGTGGGTTGAGATACATTTGATCATATTTCCTATTGCAGTCTCTTTTTCAAGCAAGAGATGGAATTATCTCTGATTGGGCTTCAGAATGCTGGCAAAACGTCGCTTGTAAATGTTATTGCAGTAAGTAATTGTTCCTAACCAACCATGTGTTAAATATTCTTATATTGGCTACTGCTGATGGCTTATCTTTTCTCTTCCTGATTGTAATTTGCAGACGGGTGGATACAGTGAAGACATGATCCCAACGGTGTGTAATATTTTTCAAAGGAATTATACCATTCTCTTGATATTTGATTGTTTCTGTTGCCTTATTTTGTACCATAATAGCTTATTTTTGCATTTCTCTTCAAAGTATCCTTTCATCTGCAGGTAGGATTTAATATGAAGAAGGTGACTAAAGGCAATGTAACAATAAAGCTTTGGGATCTTGGAGGCCAACCAAGGTTCCGTAGTATGTGGGAAAGATATTGCCGTGCAGTTTCTGCAATTGTGTACGTTGCCTATATTTGTTGTATACTTTATTGCTGCATTCTTGGATCTGTGATTCTTGTTTGTTTACAGGGAAAATTTCCTTACTTAGCTGGATTTCTGCTTAAACTTATTTGCCTAACTGTTTAACTTGTTATGGTCTCTGCATTAATTACATGGTCCATATGGAAATCGTAAGTTGCGAACAATTGGGACGTATGATCTAGCATGGTGTTTGAAAATTTCGATATCCAGTGCTGAAAAAAGTTGGTTGAAGAGTACTCCTGACTTCTTGTCTTGCAGTTATGTTGTGGATGCTGCTGATTATGAGAACTTGTCTGTCTCAAAAAGTGAATTGCATGACTTGTTGAGTAAGCCTTCACTGAATGGAATCCCCTTGCTGGTATTGGGTAACAAGATTGACAAACAAGGAGCTCTGTCTAAGCAGGATCTCACAGAACGAATGTAAGTTGAATCTAAGAAACCTTGAACTAATAACAATGAGTTCGTTTGTTCTGCAATGATGTTGCTTGTTGAATCTAAGAAACCTTGAACTAATAACAATGAGTTCGTTTGTTCTGCAATGATGTTGCTTGTTCCCCACCTCAATATCAATATCCATTGTTAAGTCAAATGAATGAACATGTAGAAAGTAAAATGTCTATAAGTGCTTGTTTACAAGTAGTTTGTAGGCAGTTCCTGTGGTTTCTTAAAGATGGTTCTTCACCTTGCAGGGGACTGAAGTCTATAACTGATAGAGAAGTCTGTTGCTTTATGATATCGTGCAAGAACTCCACCAATATTGACACTGTCATTGACTGGCTCATAAAGCATTCGAAGTCGAAAAACTAAGCTGCGGTGTCTGCAATATCAGGTTCCAACGTCTAATTGTAAGAGGCATATTTCTAGTTGTGCAAATATGTCAGTTGCCCATCTGAGCTTTGCTGATATCCAACTTCCATGTCCTGTTTTGTGTTTATACCTTGGCAGCACGTACCTATGTACATTGGTTTAGATTTGTATTTGAGGGTTGTGATTATTGTCTTGTTGTTGGGAGGGAAAAAGGGGGGGGACTCAGAAACAGAGGTTGGTTTTGATTGTTGCTATAACTTCGATTTGACGATGTGATTTAAACATTTTTCCCATTGTATGATTCTATCTATCACTTGAACCAGTTTTTTGAAAATCTGACTAAAAATTGGACCAAAATAACTCACTTAGGAAGCCCTACCCGGAATAGATAGGATGTAGATATATATTCATGTTGGCTGTTCGTATATGTTTGGTGATTTAGGTCCTAAGAAACGGTGTTCTTTAGCTTTGAATTGTAGGAAAAGTGATGTTCGAAGACAAATATTACAAATCACGTCTCAGTTTCCTATGTGGGATTGGTTGATGTAGACTTAGTACATGGCAGCCCACTAGCAAGGGAATAGCTCGGCAAGGTAACCACTTTTAAAGATGTTTGACTTGCTGTTTTAACAAGTTTTGGTTTACAAAGCATGTATATTAGTGTACTGGACACTCCAAGGTTAATGGATTATGGAACTTCAATTAGTGGAAATTGTTATGAAAAAAAATCTTGTAGGAAGGTAAAGACTTAATCGACTTGATCAATTCTATTCGTGTTTCATGTTTAAACTGAGAGTGGAACGCATGAAATGATATTAAGAACATTATCATCATAATTTTAACGACCTTGTGTTTGTGTTTCTTCTTTTATCTTTGTCTCTTAATAATGGTTAGTATAAAGCTTTTAAGGTCATTAGCTTCTTACCTTCTTACCTTAATCTCCATTATTTTGGCAACAATTTAATTAGTCCATATATTTTGAAAATTGTAATGATTCTATTGGTAGGGTGAAAATTGTTACGACTTGAAGGTAGAAATTAAATCATTACCAATTAAAGTTTAAAAACGTTTTTTTTTTAATACAGTGCGTTGAATGTGATTTGCATAGAAATTTCAAACCTGTTGAGTTTCTTCCATGTGTTGGATGAGTTCGGCACATAAATGTTTTTTTTTTTTCTTTCAATGACTTTGAACACAAAACTACTCACGTAAATACATGGAATAAGGTTTGATCTTATTCAGGTAGATTTCGTAAATATTGCATTCCAAAAAGAGAGTTCGAAACAATTGGAACTCAAGACCTCTCGCACTCGAAGCGAGAATCATACCACTAGACTAGATGTCCATGTTGTAGACTACGTGTTCAATTGTTCGTTGAATGTATCTTCATTATTTCATTTAATCTTCATAGATACTGTTAATATAATTAATTGTACTTATCGATCATTAATGATTAAAGAAATAAGATGTTAATGAAATTCATGTGCAAGTGAGATTAAGAGTTCGTTGAGAGTGTGCTTTCTTTGGGTTTCACGTAAGGATGGATGAAAATATTCCTTTTATCGTTATTTTGCAACATGTTCTAAAAAACAAATTCAACCAAAACTATGTTTCATCAAGCAACAAAGATAGTTTGTGAGAACAACATTAGTGATAGTCCATTTTGGAATGTTTTTCAAATGTTTGGATTATGTTAAAGAGTTAAATTTGTAGGACTCATCAATGAAGAGAGCTATTCACCACCCATTCTTAAAAAAGAGATTCTCCGATGCTTCGAGATGATATTTCGAATGATGATGGTGTTATTGATGATGTGGTGGCCAACAAAGTAAGTGTGCAAATTTACGTTGCTCCATGCTCAAAAGAGACAAAAACTTTAGAAGTAAAACGGAGAGATTGAGAAGGAGAGTTCGTTTTTTTAGAGTTTGTAAGTTTGTGAGGTGAACAATGTTGTACGTTCAATACGACACATAGTTGAAAGGACTCGCTTTCTAATGGGTGTACCTAAACCCAAGTACTTTTGTCTATTGATTTTTTGCCAGAAATTAAAATGTTTATTAAAAGACAAGTAAAATGTTTATGATATGTTATAAGACGGGTATGCATTTATTGTACCTTTTGGGTTTTACGATAGTTATAAAATGCCCTTAGACATTAAAGAGTGAATCTTAATCGAATAAGACAACACTAGATCAAAGTTATAGTGTTTAGATAAGGTGAGGAGGCAGAGGGGTCGTGAGATAATTGACTTGTCTTACAAAGTGTAACGACTCGGGAAAGAAAAAAAAAAAAACTCAATCGCCGGAAAACTCGCGAGTTTTCCGGCGACCGCCTAGTTTGCGGACTCCACGCGGAACGACGACCACATCACGCACAGCCTTTAGCCCACGACTCCCAGCACCTGTCAGGATACTTGCAAAGGGAGAACAGAAAGAAAATACGAGAGAGAGAGAGATTTCGAATAAACGCCGGCGAGTTTCCAGTTCTCCAATGAGCCCCCAAACCACTCGAAAATTGACACGAAATGATCCGTTACCACCACGAGAAGAATCCCTAACGAAAGCACAATAACTCAAGATGCATTTTGTGCTTTTTCGTAAGCGCCGTCGTTGATAACTGAGGTCGGAAAATTGAGTTTTCCTAATTGTCTTATATGTGTGGTTTTAGGAACTTTTAGGCCGCAAAACTCCTGGAAAAGAAAGAAGGACGACAAATAAAGAGGAAAAGGAAGAAAGAGGATTGAAATCGGCAATGGAAACGCCACAGGAAGGAGAGAGAAAACTCGCAAAAAAATCGGCAGAAGTCGGGTAAGGAAGACGAGGTCCACGGACCCGGGTCAACCTGAACCCAAAACCCGAGAGAGCCAGCCCACTCTTTCCCTCGGCCTCTGTCTTCGGCCCAGCCAACTACAGCGGCTGAAACCTCAAACTAGTCCAGAAGCTACGGTTTAGTTGAACCAACCCGAGACCAGACCCACGGTCCAATCGAGCCGGTCTGCAACCCAAACACTTGTGGCCTAGCCCAGTAAGCTGAGGCCCAACGATAGTTTTGGCCCAGTAGCCTTCCGCAGCCCGTGACCCGGACCACGACCCGAACCGGACTGCGACCCGCGCTTCAACCCGACGCTACCGCATGACGTGGCTCACTATGCTGTTGCCACGTGTCACATAGCGGTGTAGGCGGTCCTTTGGCTCGGCTCGGGCTCCCTCCGGTGACGCTCCAGCGGCTCCTCCAGCGGCTCCTTAAGAGAGGACCTGTTTTCAGCCCAGTTTCCACTGTTTCGACCCTTCCGAATCTGTTTTCGGCCTCGATTAAGGTATCCGAGGCCGTTTTAGAGCCGTATTTCACATTTATTAAATTATAGGTAAATTAATTGTGAAATACTAACGAAAAGTGGTGAACGGTGTGATAGGAAACAAACTCCGGCAACGTAGGAAGCAGCTCTCACGGAACGGGAGCTTACGTTTAGCTATTTAGGGAGTACTTCAGCCAAGGCCAACCAAGTAAGTGGCCTTACTATGGGATAGGCTAAAAATTGTATGAGTTATGATGATGTGTGAGTTACGATACTTGATGATGTGTGCAGTATATACATATTTTGATGAATGACGTACTTAATATGTTTGATGCACTTTGTGGCAATATGATGAATATGATGATTGCATGACGTTTACCTTAATATGATGATGTTTTTCATATTGAGCATGTTATATAATGATGAGTGCCATATTGCATTATGTCGTTAGATCGACATAGGATACAACCCTAAGAGCGTAAAAATGATATTAATATAAATATCCACGAGTATGTGTTACCTAGAGTAACAAAGAGATGAGACGAGAGGATTGTGTTAGAAGGGACATTATGATGGATTTAGAGGGACCTCATGCATATTGTATGTTCATAAGCATAGGGCTACTTCCCCTAGAGATGATGAATGCGGACGCGCACCATATGATGAGCGCGAATGCGCACGGTGCGAATGCACACAGATGAAGGTGTTCATGAGGCGCATGACACTATGGGGTTCCGCTGACCTCTAGACATCGCTACAGATTAGCTTGACCAGAGGGTCCAGAGGGTGTGCGAGCGCCCTGGGGATTCACACTCGCACGTGTGAGTCGTGTGTAGGGAAGTACTACACATCAAATTTTTCCGAGACTGGAGGCCACCCCTAAGATGATCAGAGATAGGTCCCTAATTCATGATTGCATGTGTTTGCATTAACATGACCCCTATAGTAGGGTCACTTACTGAGTATTTTTCGAAATACTCAGGCCGTGTGCCATATTGTTTTTCAGGTAAAGGCAAGGCTCCCATGTTCGGTTGACGGTGGCATCATGATCAGAGACTGTGGCGCGTGCATAGGATAATTGCATATTTACAATTCCTAGTCTTGGTTAGAATAGGGCGTTTGCATTTCATTCATTTATATTATTTAATTTGTAATCGTTTTTATCTTTTGAACTCCAGATGAGGATTGAAACACGTAAGTCCGGCAATGTTTTCCAATATTTGAACATATTCTGAAGTTTCAAATTTTTCCGCTAATAAAGAGGAGCATTCTTAAATTTTTATTCTGCATTACAGATGAGCATGAGACGTTAGTGGCGACTCTAGATATGTGAAAATTTAGGGTCGTTACACAAAGGCAGAGAGTTAACGCTGCAAAATGCGAGACATCTAACTCCATGGAATTTTGGTACGAGATACCTCTAGACCCTGTATCAGGTTAGGTACCTATGATCCAACCTCCTATGACCATAACTTTGGAGGTCAAGTGTCACAATCACATTCTTGTGACAATAGAATAACAATGGTACAATACTAGTTCTAACCCGACTAACAAATCAGCTGTATGTAAATTGTGAACAATTTGGATGTATGATCAAGCCGCAATCACATTTGAGGGAAGTGTTTCAGAAAACGTGAGCGAGGAATAGGCCTAGTTTTCAGCTAAGAGAGCAATCACGTCTTCTCTGTTAGAATCTCTCCTCCTTTTTTTGCGGTAGAACTCTTCTTCATAGAATGAGGTCATACCACCTTCTTGTGCCTCGTATCTTCCTGGTCGGGATAGTATCACTTCAGTAACTGGTCAGGATAGTATCACTTCAAGTTACTGACAACGACAACAAGGTTAGTTTGCATCTACGACAGCAGTTGGATCCTAAATAATACTATTCAAACCTTTTGAATGACTTTGACTAGTCCGTAGTACTTTTGCACCAATTGTCGGTTCTTGTTGTCTTAAAATCTGAGTTGATCTGACTTCAACTTGATTTTAATTCTTTCTCCATTTTTGAATTGTTGTAGTCGATGCATTACCCTTCTTGTCAGTATCAAACCTTTTGGGTGATACTATTCAAACCTTTTGAATGACTTTGACTAGTCCGTAGTACTTTTGCATTAGTTGTAGGTTCTTGTTGTGGTCGATGCTTTACCTTTCTCTTCATGTGTCTGGATGGTCTTCCCAAGTAAACATGAGTTCCTTTGGAGGTTTATCTTTAGTTTGGTGTCTCTCCCCAAAATTTTGGTGATCACTAACAAGAGTTTCAACTAGTGCTATTTGTGGAACTAGCTTATTTTTGAATTGGTGTGGTCGATGCTTTACCCTTCTCTTCGGTTTATCTTTAGTTTGGTCTTTAGTTTGGTGTTTGGTGTCTCTCCCCAAAATTTTGGTGATCACTAACAAGAGTTTCAACTAGCGCTATTTGTGGAACTAGCTTATTTTTGAATTGGTGTGGTCGATGCTTTACCCTTCTGTTCGGTTTATCTTTAGTTTGGTGAATTTTGGTGACCACTAACAAGAGTTTCAACGAGTCATTTAGTTATTTGTGGAACTTAACTAGCTTAGGTTGGGTTGTATGACAAACATCTAGGGTTTAAGGCTCGTTCATGACCCAATTTTTTAACGAGCTGCGACATAAGGTTGACTCAATGGTGTAAAAAGACAATGGTGGGGCATTTCGAGAATCGAACTCAAGACCTCTCGCACCCGAAGCGAGAATCATACCACTAGACCAAATGCCCTCCTTGTGGGAGATCATTTTTAGTTTCTAATCCACGTGTTTTTAATTTCACACTAAAAAGAATCATACCACTAGACGAAATGCCCTTTTATGTTGTGCAACTATCATTTTTAGCTCTCACTCGTTATTGTACCACTCGAGGTAGGTCTTTGTTTAAGAGATGGTTCTATAAGAAGGGGCATTCCGAGAATCGAACTCGGGACCTCTCGCACCCGAAGCGAGAATCATACCATTAGACCAAATGCCCTTGTCATGAGCTTTATATTCAGTTGTTCGTTGAATGTATCATCATTATTTCATTTATTTTATTTAATCTTCCTAACAATTGTTAATATAATCAATTGTACTTATCCACCATTAGTCATCTATACCCTAACTTATTGTAAATGAATCGAGGCATTAAGTTGATGTTTGTCCCAAAGTCACACAATGCTCTACCTCACTACTTTCCTCTCATTGATACAGGAATAGTGAATGAGGCTGGATCTTTTTCCTGTAGGGGATCTTATTTTTGAAAATTTCATTGTACTCTTCATTTAGTGCCACTACCTTGAATTCTTCAAACATCTATTCGTGAGTAGATCTTTCAAGAATTTCACATAATTTGACATTTGCTTCCAAGCCTCCACGAGTGGTATGTTTATATGAATTTCATTCAAAATATCCATGAACTTCTCGAAGTGGGCTTCCTCTTTCTTTATTTTTATTCTTTGTGGGAAAGGAGGTGTTGACATGTATGTTATGCTCTCTTCTTCACTGCTATCTGTTGATAACGTTTTCGGGACAAGAGGTTGCTTTTTAGGAGACGGTTATGCTTTGGCATAATTTTTGCCATGTTCCTATTTAGTATTTTCCTCCATTCATTGTTGTGTATCGGGAGTGACGGTGACTGTGTCCTTCAATTCCACCTCCTCGGCTAAGTATTTCTTTCCCATTTCTCAATTCTATTGCTCCTTGCCCTCTGTGTTTGGCGTTTTGGTATTTACTGGCAACTTCCCAAGAGGTCTATTTCCTAACCGAGTTGCTAATTAACCCAATTGAATTTTCAAATTTCGCAAGAATGCTTACTGAATTTGCACCATAGCATCATTCTTGGCCATATATTCCTTCATTAGGCTCTCAAAAGATATTCCTGGTATGTGTTGAGCGTGGCTTGTTGAGGACCATATGCCATTTAATTTTGTATTCCAAAACCGGGAGGGTAATTTGCCTTGGGTGGCATCTGTTGATTGTATGAGTTTTGTCTGTTCCATGAGAAGTTTGGACGGTTTCTCCACCTTGGGTTATAAATGTTTGAAAATGAATTATTTTTCTAATTTCCTTGAATTGGAATTGCTTGATTCCCCACATAAAAAATTGAAGTTCGATTACTTAGAAATTGTTCAAACGTGTGTTCTTCTGAACAATATACATAAGATTCAACTACAGGTTGAGTCATGACAACTGCAGTTTGGACTAGTGCTTTAGTCATTGAGCCTTGTCCAACGCTAGATTTTGTAGAATATTAGTCATCGAAACTTTTGAGCGTTGATAGAGGTCAATGCATTAACTTCAAGTACTTCTCGTGTCTTCTTTCCTAGATTGCTCCTTACATCAATCAATTGACAATTGTTAGATGTTATTCTTTCTAGATTTCACAAGTTTCATTGTATGTCTTTGACAAGATAGCTCCATTGGCGGAAACATCCACCATTAGTTTAGTAGAAATATTCAGTCAATTGTTGAAAGTCTCCTTTTAGATACAATGTGGGAGTTCATGGTGAGAACATTTCCTAAGCATCTCCTTAAATCTTTCCAAAACATCACTTAGTGTTTCATCTTTAAACTAATAAAAAAATAATAATTTTATTGTTGTACCGTGAAAAATACTTGACCAAGAATTTATTTGCTAGACTATACCAAGAATCAATTGCTCCTGGTGCCGGATGCTAAAGTATTCAACCATGATTTAGCACCATCTCTCAAAGAGTAAGTTTTAATTTGATAGTTTCACTTGAACCACACATGCTAGGTACTCGACAACACATAGCATCATTCTTGGCCATATATTCCTTCATTAGGCTCTCAAAAGATGTTCCCGGTACATGTTGAGCGTGGCTTATTGAGGACCATATGCTATTTGATTTTGTAGTCCAAAACCTGGAGGGTAATTTGCCTTAGGTGACATTTGTTGATTGTATGAGCTTTGTCTATTCCATGAGAAGTTTGAACGATTTTTCCACCTTGGGTTATAAGTGTTTGAAACTGGATTCTTTTTCTAGTTGTCTTGACTTGCTTGATTCCCCACATAAAAAATTGAAGCTTAATTACTTGAAAATATATCAAATGTGTGTTCTTCTCAACAATATACACAAGATTCAACTACAGGTTGAGTCATCACAATTGCAGTTTGGACTAGTGCTTTAGTCATTGAGACTTGTCCCAACGCTAGATTTTGTGGAATATTAGGCACCGAAACTAATGGAGTGTTGATAGAGGTCAATGCATCAACTTCAAGTACTTCTCGTGTCTTCTTCCCTAGATTTCTCCTTACATCAACCAATTGACAATAGTTAGATGTTATTCTTTCTAGGATTTCATAAGTCTCATTGGCGGCAACATCCACCATTAGTTTAGTAGAAATATTCAGTTCATTGTACAAATTCTCATTTTGGATACAATGTGGTACTCCATGACGAGAACATTTCCTAAGCATCTCCTTGAATCTTTCCAAAACTTCACTTAATGTTTCATCTTTAAACTATTAAAAAATAATAATTTTATTGTTGGACCGTGCATTTCTAGTGAGTGAAAAATACTTGACCAAGAATTTATTTGCTAGACTATACCAAGAATGAATTGCTCCTGGTGCCTTGTGCTAAAGTATTCAACCATGATTTAGCACCCTCTCGAAGAGTAAGTTTTAATTTGATAGTTTCGCTTGAGCCACACATGCTATGTATACAAGTAAAGAAGATATCAGCACTAAGTCACACATGATATTTCAATTGAATCCTTCCCAGGATGTGACTATATAGGTTAACACTCATTCTCCCTCAGCTCGACTCTGAAGTTTTCAGTATGACCACATTTGTGATGACTCCCTTAACTTCAAGAATTCTTCAAGGGATGACTATATAGGTTAACACTCATTGTCTCTTAGTTCGACTCTCTTAGCGACTTATTCTCCCTTATCTCAACTCTCTTGTCATGAAGATTCTGTAATGCCACATGCGATCGTTCACCGATTACTCACATTTGTGATGTTTTTATGAACATTTTCAGTATGTACGTCCCCATTACCTTGATTTATAAACTTCCATTGTTGATGAACACTTCTTCGAAGGCGGTCGTTCATTGGTTACTCACATTTGGGTTCATTCCCATGAAATCTTAAATAAAAAGAAAAAAAGTAAGTACTAAAAAGGGTTAACTATTATCCATGTGTGAATGATCTCTTTAATTTATGTTTAAACACATTGAAAACCTAATAATCTTCACAATGCTTCAACAATTTGATATAGTTATGGGGGCATTTTGAGAATCGAACTCGAGGCCTCTCGCACCCGAAGCGAGAATCATACCACTAGACCAAATGCCCTTTTTTGACTGCCTATCATTTTTAGCTCCCACTCGGTATGGGTTTTTTCTCTTAAATTTGAAATCTATCTTTTTTTTTGGAGGGTTGGAGGGCTAAAAACATTTTGTTCAACTAATGATGAACTACTTTGAACGGACAATGCATTCATAATTAGAATACTCATCTACATGAGGTAGGTCTGTGTATAAGAAGAAGTTCTAGAAGGGGCATTTCAAAAATTAAACTCGAGACCTCTCGCACCCAAAGCGAGAATCATACCACTAGATCAAATGCCCTTGTTGTGGATTTCATATTTAGTTGTTTGTTAAATGTATCATCATTATTTCATTTATTTTATTTGATCTTTATATAAATTGTTAATATAATCAATGTATTTCTTTCAAACTTAGGCTTTCCACGGATCAAGTTTTCATATCTCTTTATTAATTTCTTCATGTCAACTTTGTTGTCCAACAATTTGTGAATTACCCTTATTGGCCTTACTACGATCAAATTGGTACAATAATAGTATTTAGCAACCCCATCAATCCGATATATTATACTACTGAATATTTTCTCGAAATATCAATTTTAGAGGCATTTTTATTAATTCTTTCAAGAAATTGGTAAGGCTCATCCCCTCTTGACTTTAACTGTCTTCTTTTGAGATGAGAATCACTCCTTGAAAATTGTTACCTAAACCAGTTGAAAAATGAGTTATTTCCGTCCTTTTTTTAATACTTGAAGTAGTTTTGAAATTTTATTATCAATTCTTTCCTTCACCTCTTTCTGCAACGTTTTGATCAAATCTACCAAGTTTTCACTTCGGTCTCTATCACGAAGTTGTGGGTGGGTCCAAAGTGTTCATGGATGCTCTGTGGTTAACCTAGGCCTCGACATACATAAGATTGTGTTTCATTGGTTCTTCTATCTCTTCCACTCTCTTCGGGAGGGTGGATAAGTACTATGGTGCCCTCAAGTGGGGGTGTTCAACGTTATCTAGTAATTTTGTTTCAATTCCTTCTATCTTATACTCCGCTTTTGAATTCACTCCAGTTTTTTTTTTCTTGGAAGGCATGCCTTCTGTGGGCATTCAGATTCTCGATGGGACCCCTTGCATATGAAGCAAGCAAAGGAACTAGAAACCTTGATTATGACTATTCTAGTTGTGAGAACTCTGTCATTGAGTTATATCTCTCGATTAGAAAGGCTTGCTTTCCCCTCCTCTACCTTTAAATATGTCGTCTGCCCCGCCTTTGGGGAACTTGGGTCGATAATTTGTATTACCCCCACTTACAGAAGCCTAGTTCTATCTTTTGTCTTGCGAATGATTGTTGCTAAAGTCAAATATTCGTTTTGCTATAGCATAGGCTGTGGAAAGGTTTTGAACCTTTGTTCGTAAAGCTTGGCTTGACATCAGCCCCTTAACAATACTAAAAACTGTCATTCTCGTACATGCGACAATATCCAACATAAGCCTAAAAAATTGCTTAAGATAGTCTCGGATATTCTTAGTATGGCGGCCTGGTTGCTCATATTTGTGATGTTTTTATGTACATTTTTAATATTTACATATCCCCATTACCTTTAATTCAGACACTTCTGCTGGTGATGAATACTTCTTCAAAGGCGATAGTTCACCGATTACTCAAATTTTTTATGGCTACCTTAACTCTGAACTGCCCTCCCCAAGAAGGAATGTAGTACACTTTCGTCCATTAAATCCAAGGTACTTCACCGGTTAACCGATTAGGTATAAATTATTAATTAAATAATTTCTTGGTTCAATTTTTTATATCTATGTATGTGATGATCTCTTTGCTTCAATTTGATATAGTTGTGGAGGCATTTCAAGAACGGAATTCGAGTCCTCTCGCACCTGAAGCGAGAATCATACCACTAGACCAAATGCCCATACAATGAATTTATTATTTTTAGTTGTTGGTCCATATGTTTTCTACGCCTCAAGATTTGAAATTTATTGAATTATTGTCATGTTAATTCACATTATCCATCTTCCAGTAGAATTTATTTTAACATAGTACAATTTATTTTTATTTTGTTTTTAAAATTATAGTTTTCAAAAAAAAAAAAAATATGGGGGCATTCCAAGAATTGAACTCAAGACCTCTCGCACCTAAACAAGAATCATACCACTAGACCAAATACCCTTTCTTGACCACCTATTATTTTTAGCTCCCACTCGATCTAGTTTTATCTCTCAAGTTTGAAATCAATCTTTTTTCAGAGTTAAAAAAACATTTTAGAAGTACAATGCATTCAAAATTAGAATACTCTATCTAGATAAGTTAGGTCTTTGTATAAGAAGAAGTTCTAGAAGGGGCACTCCGAGAATTGAACTCGAGACCCCTCGCACCCAAAGCAAGAATCATACCACTAGACCAAATGCCCCTATTGTGGGCTTCATATTTAGTTCTTCATCCAACCTATCATCATTATTTCATTTGATCTTCATAGAAATGGTTAATATAATCAATTGTACTTATTGAAAATTAATAAGACTACTGTAAAGTTTGATTATTCTCAAATTATTTATATAGGGGTAGCGGTAATTATTGCATAGAGGAGAAAAAACAGTTGAAAATATTCCCTAGGGTTACTTTAATTTGATAGTTTCACTTGAACCACACATGCTTTGTACACAAGTAAAGAAGATATCGAAAGTTAAAATTTGGATAGACATGTCAATTGAAAGTGAGAAACACGAAATGATATCCATAACTGTTTTCTAATTTCTATTAACAAGACTCTAGAATAAGAATAATTTCCAACCCTTCAATTATCTTTAAAATCACAAGAATCAGCATCTTAATTATATAAACTTGATAGAATAAGAAAAGAGAGTAAAGAATCAGAGAGTTATTTCTTGAATGATCGCTTGTTGTGTATTGTCTACATGTTCTACCATCTGAGCAACAATGCCGAATGAGCTATCCGCGCGCTCAAAGGCACAAGCAAGTGTGTCCTTGTCTTCAAGGGCATCAATTACATCTATTAATTTGCGAATAGGCACTGCCTCAAGGGAACTTGTCATTTCATTGATCATGCAAGACTCAAAATACCACATTTTATTAGAAACTTCACTTAGGTATAACAAACCACTTTCAAAATACCATTTGATTGGTCTCACATCTTCCCATCTTCTTAAAGTATGTTGACACGGGGTGAACAGTAAAGACCTACTTGTTATGGTCACATATGCGACACTCTCTTAAGAGAGTAGCAAAGGATTAACCATAGGGGCATTCCGAGAATTGAATTCGGGACCTCTCGCACCCTAAGCGAGAATCTTACCACTAGACCAAATGCCCTTTTCTTGAATATTTATCATATTTAGCTTCCACTCGATATGATTTTTTCTCTCAAGTTTGAAATCTATCTTTTCCAGGAGTTCGGAGGCTAAAAACATTTTATTAAGGATTTAGATCATGAACAATTCTATCTAGATGAGGTAGTCCTTTGTATCAAATGAAGGGGGGCATTCCGAGAATTTAACTCGAGACCTCTCGCACCCAAAGCGAGAATCATACCACTAGACCAAATGCCCTTGTCATAGGTTTCATATTCAGTTGTTTGTTGAATGTATCATCATTATTTCATTTATTTTAATTGTTCTTCATAGAAATTGTTAATATAATCCATTGTACTTATGGAACGTTAATCATTAAAGAATAAGACGTTAATGAAACCACGTGCAAGTGACATTAACACTTAAGGATGGGTGAAAATGGTCCTTTTATCATCACTTCGCACTATTTTGCAACACGTTTCGATGATAGTTTTGGTAAATGAAATAATGATAAATTAAAAAATTTCTCTCTTCTCCCTCCACCTCCTCGTGCCGTTTTCTTCTTCTTGTATTGGAGGTGTCACGTATGATCATGAGAAAATGACGGTATGAATGGGACAAAGGTTGAGGCCGCAATTTCGTAAACCTATCTTAAGAGAGAACCTAGTATTACACAAGTAGTTGACTCATGATGAGTGTTGCATATGAGAGTGGAGGGTGAAACTACATGACTTGGCCTAGTATACTTGGCAGACAGATGGGGTCTCTCCCCTTAGATTCAAAGTGACTCGTGGCCTTGTGGAAGGATTGCTAGTTAACTTTTCATAGATGATGTTCAATCCAGCTAGATGTCATACTATCCCAATAGATTTTACGTCATGACCCAATTTCCTAGGTTTTGAA